TGTTTTAATATCAAGAAATACTCAACTGAAAAACTATAATTGGGATTCCAGCTTGCATACATCAATACCAGCCACTTAGGTTGGTGTGAGTTCTGATCATCCTGTGAGTGACTTTCAATGTATGGGGGTTGATCTGGCTTAATCCATGGAAAACAGAACTGGCTGCGACCTTGCACTCCCCAGGCACAGGTTATTCCACAGTCTAGGAGTGGATGATGACAAGGTCCTCTGGGTGACAGTTGCCAGTCAGGTTCTGTCCAGTTGGAGTAAATGTTCCTCAGAAAACATCAGCACATGGGGCAGATTATATGAAAAAGGCACTCAATCCTGTAGGTAACCTGGACCCAGACCATGTAATAATAATAATAATAATAATAATAACAACAACAACAACAATAGTAATAATAATAATCATAATAAACTTTATTTGTACCATGCCATCATCTTCCAGACAGACTTGGGACAGCTCACAAAGCACTCAAGGTTCAACCACACAAAATACAGGAAGTGTAAAAGCAATAACAGAAAAACCATAAACAGCCAACATAAACATCACACCTTCACAATGCCCCCTGGTTAAAATCAATAGAATACAGTGATAGCTGCAGATAAAAACAACAGTAATCCATCTCAGCTTTGTAAAGTGTGCACATCCATTAAAGGAGTCTAAATGTGGTCAAAGGCTTGTTGAAAGAATGATGTCTTCAATTGTGTACGGAAGGCTTGGAGAGTAGGAGCTAGTCTGATCTCTCTTGGGAGGGCATTCCAAAGCCAGGGGGCCACCACCAAGAAGGCCCTCTCTCTCATACCCACCAACCATACTTGAGATGGGGATGGGGCCGAGAGTAGGGCCTCCCTATAGATCTTAGTGCCCATGCTGGTTCATAGAAAGAGATATGGGCTGGAAGATAGGTTGGACCTGAATGTAGGGATTTAAAGGGCAGAAACTTTTTCCAGAAACTAATAGGCAGCCAGTGGAGTGAATTTAGTATATATCTAATATACTCACTGCGAGATGTAACCAATCTGACTGCCATGTTTTGAGCTAACTGGAGTTTCTGAACTTGGTACAGAGGTAGCCCAATGTATAGCGCATTGCAGAAATCCAACCTTGAGTTTACCAGCATGTGCACTACCATCTTTTGGTCTTCCAGTTCTCGAAAAGGATGCAGCTGGTGTATTGTCTAAAACTGGTATTAAACACTCCTGATGGTTGCATCTATTGAAGCTTATATTTGGAGAGACTGATCTAGGAGCACTCCCAGGCCGCAAACACAGTCTTTCAGGGGGAGTATGACCCCCATCCAGGTCTGGTTGACACATCTCCAAGCCTAGGTTATGACCCTTAATGGCAACCAACTTTGTCTTATCTGGATTCAATTTCAACTTGTTTTTCTTCATTCAGCCCATTACTTTATCTAGACATTCATTAAGAATATACAAATTATATTCTGTTTTTAATTATGTAGGAGGAGGAATTTTTGTCTAGGAGGATGAATTTAGTTTTAAAATGAAAATGTTCTATATTTGTTCATAGTTTCAAAATCATGAATCCCAAGTCCTTAATAGCCAATGTTCTAAGTTATCTATCAGGTTTTTTAAAGATGATCCATGCTGCCAGAGCAATGGAGGTAGCCATCTCCTCTTCCCCCGTCATCTATTCCTATATCAAATGGCAGGATAAAAATAAATAAATACAATGTTCATATCACTTTGGCAAGCAGGGCACCATTGTTTCAATTTCTCCTTCCTTCTTTGTCATCTCCCCTTCCACCCCCATCATCTCTTTCTCTGTCTTTCCTCCATTTTTCATTCTCACCAATTCAGTTTTGTCCAAGTTACTGAAATTTCACCTAGAAAAGACCGTGCAGCAAGATGTGTAATTGTTTCCTTGTACTTGAGCAACATGAGTTGCTGACTTTGCTTTCCAAAGGAAGGAATTGTGAAACCTGGTGACATCTCAATATATTACAACTATGCAATTAAGTAGGAACACACATGTTAGTTCCATTCAAGTCATTCATAAGATCTGAGTCTGGAATCTTATATCCACTTAGCTGAACTCAAGAAGATAGATGTATTACTTAGATGAACATTGGAATCTATTGCAAGTCTGTAAAGTCTGTGCCATTATTAAACACTTGCTAGGTTAAAGTAATCCATGAAGAAAATTCATTGCTACACACCAGTAGATAGACTGGAAAAGACAGAAATGTGAACAAATAGAAAGAGATCCTTTTTCAGACATTTTTATCATTGTATATCATACATTGCTTCCCATGCATCACACCAAATAGATAGAAGTTGCTATTATCAGAACAGAGCAAATAAGTCAGAATCACAATCACATTAATGGTTTCTTACTGCTTTTTGGCCAATAAGAAATTAATTGGAAAGTGATGTGTTGGGGTTTTTTTTGCATACATTTCTCAGTATTCTATTGAATTTTCATTATTTGCTACTCTAAGAACAGATCAATGTGTTGACTTCTATACCCTATGAAAATCATTAAATAGCAGAAAACTATTTGCTCTGTGATGGAAGATCTCCATGATGAGATCTTCCGTTGCAGAGCAAATAATAAGGCTTTCAAAGCAGGTACTCTGTATAATGAAGGTAAATGGACAGGAAATTAATTTCTTCTGTATAATAAATAACATTCTATATGTGAAGCTTCTTTCTTTTGGCCTGTCTTTCTGCTTCTATGACATGTTTCAAAGTGAAAAAATCATAATGAATAGTGAATGCACAGAAACAAATTAACATATTTTCTCAGAATATGTCACATTTGAATTTTTCAGAGATACTTATTAGTCAGCTGTGATGACAAGTTTCAAAATACAATATAAATATTAAACATAAATAGATGTCTATATACATCATGTCCAGCCTGAAAGTTATGCATAGAATATTGATGACTAAAGACAACACAACAAAGATTTTAATTAGTTGTCACACTTCAAAATTATAGAAAAAACAGAACAGTACAAAAATATGTCTTGTGACACTTCAAATTTCACAGTTGTATTGCTAATTATTTCACTTACCAATGTTGTGTTTATTTGTGTGTTCCTATGGGTGCAAAGCAGTGGTTCTCAACCTGTGGGCCCCCAGTAGTTTTGAACTACAACTCCCAGAAATCCCAGCCAGTTTAGCAAATGTTAGAATTTCTGGGAGTTGAAGGCCAAAACATCTGGGGGTCCACAGGTTGAGAACCACTGGAATAAAGGTATGGGTGACTATTTTTGTTCTGCTTTGTGTAGAAGAGATATTAAATTTAAATTCAATATACATTCGTTTATTGATGGAAATCCCTTTGCTTGGAAGTAGTGTGAATCGCAGCTTTAGGAGAGGTGCACATTTTATGTTAGAGAATTAGCATATCAATCTGGCACAATTGTAACAGGTGATTTGCACTTTACCTGTTCAGACTCCATCCCACAGAATCCTGGGATTGGAAGTGTAATTAATTATTTAACATGCTGTTCTAATGCAATTTCCCCCCATCTAAGTTAAGTGCCAGGACTCAGGGAAGGAGGGAGAAGACTTCAGGACCTATTTAATGCCGCTCATCTCATCTTTCCCCCCTTTTTGGGTTTTGATGGCCTGCCCTCCCATCTCTTTGTACAATGTAGGTATTACTGGTTCTTTAAGGGTTGGATAGGAATCTCCCCCCCCCCCCCTCTCCATTTAAGGTATTTTTTTCATCTATCTTACACTGGCATTTTGAATTTGGGAAATTGACTTAGAATGGAGTTTTAAATAGATTCCCATGGCAGGGGTAGGAGAGAGATTTGAGTTGGTGAGAACCTGCTGGCACAAATTTGATGAAAGATGGGATGTTGGAAAAGATTATGTGATCTGTGAGTTGGGGAAAATTAACTGTCCTTGAGGCAGGTCTCAGGATCTTTGCTCCATGTGGCTTGAGGGCTTACACTCTCTGATCTGTTTCATATTTTGTGACTTAGAGGAATCCTGGGTGTCAGGGATTTATCCCAAGGGGTTATACTATTTTAAATACAGATAGGTTGGAGGGTCATCTGGATTCAAATTCCTGCCACACTCACTCCCACACCAGTGTCCCCCCCCCCTTAACTAACTATAGTAGATGTGTGCTCTTCATTTGTACTCTTATATGTGTGTGTATTGTGTTTTAAGGTATGACATACTGTTAATTTTTTCAGCAACACAATGACATTCCTGTCCTTTTGTGCATTATTTAATAGCACAAAACATAATAAATTCTAAATATATATTTCCTAAAAAGAGGTTAATTTGTTAAGAAAAACATTGACTGTCTATTGAAACTCTGCCATCTCAGAAGGCAGGTGAAAGAAAATCTACCCACATAAAATTAGTAGAAAGGGGTCTCAGCTATATTTCTCAATGATATATGTTAGTGGCTATATTTGAAAGGATGCTACACTGAAGATGGGGCAAACTTGCTTTATGCAAAGATTCAGTCAAGAAGCAATAAATTCAAAGGATAGGAACAGAGATTCCACTTAAACATTACGAAGAACTTCCTAATGGTAAAAACTGTTCAACAATGGATTATGTTGCCTCAGAGTTTGATGGAGTTTCCTTTTTTGGGAGGTTTTTATTCAGAGGCTGGATTACTATTGTCAGGAGTGCTTTCATTGTGCATTCCTCTGTAATTGGGGGGGGGGGGGGTTTGACTGGATGACCCATGTGGTCTCTTTCAACTCTATGATTCTATGCATGTGTTTTGTACTCATGGACTTTGTTTTGTTTCAGGATATAGTTTTTTTTGCAAAACTTTAGAAAATGTACTCTCTGTACCTGTAATAATGTACTTCATAGGTGGACATGCCAAATATTTTTCTAAGCATGTACATTGATTCCCCAACTCTTCTTTGGGCTAACCAGTAGCGAGGATATCAGTTTATGATTTGACATGTTTTTTAATTATTACTCTGTATTTTCCTTTGATGTTATAGATAATTTCATAATTACTGTTCTTCTATATATGTTTTCAGTGGGAAGAAATAAGTGGTGTTGATGAGAACTACACGCCAATCAGAACCTACCAGGTTTGCAATGTTATGGACCACAGTCAGAACAATTGGCTGAGGACAAACTGGATACCACGCAACTCAGCTCAAAAGATCTATGTGGAGCTAAAGTTTACCCTGAGGGACTGTAACAGCATCCCACTGGTATTGGGCACTTGCAAAGAGACCTTTAACCTGTATTATATGGAAACTGATGAGGAATATTCTGTCAAGTTTAGAGAACATCAGTTTACAAAGATTGATACCATTGCAGCTGATGAGAGCTTCACTCAGATGGATCTTGGGGATCGAATTCTTAAACTCAACACAGAGGTTCGTGAAGTGGGACCAGTAAGCCGGAAAGGATTTTACTTGGCTTTTCAAGATGTGGGAGCATGTGTTGCCTTAGTATCAGTGAGAGTGTACTTCAAAAAGTGCCCTTTCACGGTAAAGAACCTTGCTATGTTTCCAGACACAGTACCTATGGATTCCCAGTCATTGGTGGAAGTGCAAGGTTCTTGTGTTAATAATTCCAAAGAGGAAGACCCACCCAAAATGTACTGCAGTACAGAAGGCGAATGGCTCGTTCCCATAGGAAAGTGCTTATGCAATGCTGGCTATGAAGAAAGGGGCTATGCCTGCCAAGGTAAGGTCTATCTAATGGTTTCTACATTTTCATTGTTTTGTATCCCTTCACTGAATTTCTGTGCTTTAAACTGCCTTGGAAAAGAACAGAGGGAACAGGCTTGTAACCACTTCTAAAGTGATTTCTTACATAAACATATCTGTTACTAACTAGATGCCTGCAAGCAAAAATTTGGCTGGTTGGTTTGACCTAATATGGACAATTCAAACCCTGGATTGCTCACCACTTCTTGGCTGTTGTTACTCAAAGGAAGCCACAACTGACAGAATTTTCATAAGGGTCTGAACATAGGGTAGATAACTATATTGGCTCAGTGACCAAAATTCTACCCAGGGACTCTCATGCCACCCAAACTACCAAGCATGTTGAAAAAGAGGGAGGTGAGAGAAAATGTCTGAAAGTCTACTTCTAGTTTTGAAAAATGGTTATATTTTCAGCTGTGAACTGATCTATTGATGTCATCTGATGTACTTATGCTCCTGGAAACCTCTAGGGCAGTGTTTCTTAAACTCTGCTCCTCTAGGTGTTTTAGATTTCAGCTCCCAGAAAATTCCAACCAGCTTACTAGCTGTTAGGAATTGTAGGAGCTAAAGTCCAAAATATCTAGAGGAGCAGAGCTTGAGAAACACTGTTCTAAAGAGACAGTTTAATTCAGAACCTCATTTCTCAGTCTCAGCAGGTCAACTCAAGACAACAAATGTGTACAACCACACTAGCTTTGCAAAGCAAACAATTAAGTTATGATTTGGCATTCTTTATCTTCTTAAGATTTGGAGAAATATAGCAGCATGAAAGCACTTCACTTATTTCTAAGGTTATTTGCTGATATAGAGTAGTGTTTCCCAATCTTTAGTCCTCTGGGTGTTTTGGCTTTCAATTCCCAGAGATTCCAGCCAGCCTACCAGCTGTTAGGAATTGTGATAGTTCAAGGCCAAAATATCTGGAGGACCACAGGTTGGGAACCACTGCTATAGAGAAATAACAATGACACTCTTCTTCTCACTTTTGTGTTTGTTTATGTTGAGTTTTATAATTATAGTACTATCGTCGTGTATGAATAAGCCTTTTATTGCAGGAGAGAATTACTTCTATTATCATGTTTAGGATCTAGAGGTGATCATGGAACCTGCAGGTTATTTTATGTTAAATTTTACAAAATCCTTGCATTCTGCTATTTGTGCAGTAGTCAATGAGGATCAAACCATCCTTGATTTCATCAACTGGAATGCAGACATTACCAATAATGAATTCCTAAAAGAAAACTGCTTCTGTGCATGACTCCTAGAATCATAGAATCATAGAATCAAAGAGTTGGAAGAGACCTCATGGGCCATCCAGTCCAACCCCCTGCCAAGAAGCAGGAATATTGCATTCAAATCACCCGACAGATGGCCATCCAGCCTCTGTTTAAAAGCTTCCAAAGAAGGAGCCTCCACCACACTCCAGGGCAGAGAGTTCCACTGCTGAACGGCTCTCACAGTCAGGAAGTTCTTCCTCATGTTCAGATGGAATCTCCTCTCTTGTAGTTTGAAGCCATTGTTCCGTGTCCTAGTCTCCAGGGAAACAGAAAACAAGCTTGCTCCCTCCTCCCTGTGGCTTCCTCTCACATATTTATACATGGCTATCATATCTCCTCTCAGCCTTCTCTTCTTCAGGCTAAACATGCCCAGCTCCTTAAGCCGCTCCTCATAGGGCTTGTTCTCCAGCCCTTTTATCATTTTAGTCGCTCTCCTCTGGACACATTCCAGCTTGTCAATATCTCTCTTGAATTGTGGTGCCCAGAACTGGACACAATATTCCAGATGTGGTCTAACCAAAACAGAATAGAGGGGTAGCATTACTTCCCTAGATCTAGACACTATGCTCCTATTGATGCAGGCCAAAATCCCATTGGCTTTCATCAATAGGAGCATAGTGTCTAGATCTAGGGAAGTAATGCTACCCCTTTTTCTCAAAGTAAAGGCTGTGGCTCCCTTCTCAACACACACCTAATTATTTCATCTACAGAATTCAGAACCTGAAAAAGATGTAGTTTGAACTACAGTCCTTAGGTACCAAGCAGTATATTGTCCAGGACACTTTTGGAGTTATAGTAACAACTCTTCTATATTGTACAAATTTGGGGAGGACACTGGTGTGATGTTTTTTTTAATGCCCAAATAGAGTAAGACCCATTGGATCCATGAGATTTACAGAAATACTGATTCACTATTAAACATTTGACTCCACAAGACTACTCTGACTTGGATTATGAACAAGATGCAGTCATGATTTTCTAGTTGGCCTATTTATCCTGTCAAGGCTACACCGATATTGATGTATCTAGCTTTATGGCCAGCTGTATAATAGAATTGAGAGGTAAATTGGAATAGAGGGGGAGAATTACCTGTTTTAAAATAATGAGACCTATTCTATATTTATGCATTCATACTCAAGGCCCTTTCACCCAGGCCCCTAAATGTGGGAGCTCCTGCAGTTTATCGGAGGCATCCAAACAACATATCTAGGAAAACCCTGCTTTGTCCTGAATTAATTTGGTACTGCATTAGATCCGAGTCTTCCTGAAAGATCCAGGTCTAATGCAGTATGGGTCCTGGGACTACCGAGGGGTCTGGCTGCACAGCCTTTTTGGGTTTTCTGGGTTGAATCAGCCCTGAAATCCCTTAGGGCATCAACCACCTCCCCAACCCTCCCTTCAAGAAGACATTAAAAATAAAATTACTTATCTGACCACCATTAAACTCCTGCCAGAGCTCTCCTGGCATGTAGAAATGATGCATCAGGAGAAGGGGGTGAGCAGCAAGGTACCGGGAAGACATCTAGACACCCTCCACAGAAAGCATGGGCTTTTGGGGCTGGTGTTTTTTTTTAAATCAAGTTTGGCATGGACTTTTTTTACTGTGTGGAACTGGCCTTAGATGCTAAGGATAAATTTTGTGACTGTGTGTGACTAGTTTCTTTTAACCCAGCAAGGAGTGATGCTGTATGTGCATGGAAGGGCATATGGATTGGGACTTCGGCAAAGACGAGAATAATTTTTCTCCTACATTTATTCCCCAGTTCAGATGATGTCTCCCATGGTGACTATTGGCATTATAGGGGAGGGAATTCACACTGAAATGAATGATTTCACAGTGAGGATGTCAGGCTTGGAGCATGAGATCTGTACTGTGACAGTAGCAAAGGGGAAAGGATCACTGTCTCTCTCCCCCCCCCCCCCCCCCCCCCACAAACACTGGAATATGCCAGGTATCTAATTATGATTGTGCTCTTGCATAAGAATGTGAAAGAACACTAAGGAGGTTGTAGTTCCTGGAATGAAGCAAGAACTAGTTGAAAATAACACCACTCTTTTTTTTTTTTGAACAAAAGAGGTTGAGAACATAACAAGAGAGGTCTCCGTAGAATATTTATCTTTAAATGAAAATTAAATGTTTGTTCAGGAAGTAGAGGTTAAGTCCACAGGGTACAATTCCATGAACATGCAACACCCAGTGCTTGCAAACTGTTTTAAGAGACCACTCATATTCTTTGGTCCTAAAATGAACTATGGTCTAGGAACATAAACTGTAGTTCTACAATTTTTTGTTTGGTTTTGAATTTGTGTTTCTATTGTTAGAAATTAGATGAACACGCATACCTTACAATACCCCAAATTTCTCTCTCTCTCTTGGCCTCCATAGGCAGACTGAATTTGGGGAAATGAGGACTGTAAGAAAAGAATAACATTCAAGATACAGGGATTAGAGTATAAATTTCTTTGGAGCAGCTGGAAAGAAATCTTTACAAATGTAATCCCATATAAGTAAAGTTAAACTTTGAGTTGCTTGAACAACCATTTGTTAAAACTGTAAACATGAAACCAAAGACAAATGTATTACTAAACGTTTATACAACCAGACTAATCCTGTTTTTTAGACACCATATACTGATGCAGTGCCTGCTGATTTCAGTCAGCAAGAGATTCCTTGTGACCACGGATGTGTAATGTAAAAATAGACTCTGATCCCGCAATCATTTCTTGGCATCCAGGGGTGCTGTCTTTCCTTTTTGATTGCAATTCCATTTGTTCATCAAGGGACCTTTGTTTGAGCGAGCTGTTAACAAAAGTGACAGAGTATTCTGGTATGTCCTGGTTTTACATACAGTGTCCTGCTGTCCTGACAGCTTTTATCAAGACCTAAATTTGTCAATTTTTTTTCACCAGGGTGTGATTTAAGTGGCACTTGGAAAGCAGTTGGTAATCCAATCCCCTCCCTGCTGTTGACGTCAGTAACACAGCAGGAACTGGAAGGCTGAGAACCATGTTGAGCTTTTTTCACATACTTTTTGACACTCCAGCATGGCTCAGCATGGTGTGTCCTATGCACTTATACCACCCTCACTCACCTAAGATGAGATGAACAAAATGTCTTCATATAGTCAATGCAAGCAAAAATATTAAGGCACCGAATCAGCAAATTTCATTACAGAAATGGTTCAGAGCCAATATCTATTGCCTATCTAGCCTAGATAGACAATGAGAAAGGGTTCCTGAAGAAAACACAGGCATCAAATATGATTATTGTATCTATTTCCATGGATATTTTTCACTTTGGAATTGTATCAGCATTGATCAAACTTTGAATTTTCAAATATTTTCCAGTTTGAGCCAGTTAGCTATAAAATGGATCCATAATAAAAATATATACATAAATATGCAAAGCACTGAAAATTGCAATGTAAGAAGCTGGATCATACATAGCTTGATGAACAGTTTTTTTTCCTTAACTTTTTTAAAGAGTTAAGTACTGTAATTTGTCCAAGCAGAAAATAACAAACCAAATGTAGGATGGAACTAAAAAAATGTAGATTTGAATTATTAAGTGAAGTTCTTTTTCCAATACAAACTTTATTACATGAAAAAAGAGAAAAAAGAGCAAAGGCAGTACAAAGAAAGGAAATTTTGTAGCATAGAAAATTAAAACTACTGCATCTTACAAAACACATTAAGCTTCTAC